GCCCCGGGACGCAGGCAGCGGGCACCACGGCCCCGGCCGTGACCCCCGCCGCGGATGCCCTCTACGCCCTCCTGCGAGCATTCAGCTGGGCGCACGTGGCCCTGGTCACCGCCCCCCAGGACCTGTGGGTGGAGGCAGGACGTGCACTGTCCACGGCGCTCAGGGCCCGGGGCCTGCCCGTCGCCCTGGTGACCTCCATGGAGCCCTCGGACCTGTCTGGAGCCCGGGAGGCCCTGAAGAGGGTCCGGGACGCGCCCAGGGTCAGAGGTAGGCTCCCCCGCAGGGTGCGGAGAGGTGGGCGGGTGCTGCGGGCACGCGGCGGCGCGGCGAGCCCTGCCTCTGTGTCCGCAGCAGTGATCATGGTCATGCACTCGGTGCTGCTGGGCGGCGAGGAGCAGCGCTGCCTCCTGGAGGCCGCAGAGGAGCTGGGCCTGGCCGATGGCTCCTTGGTCTTCCTGCCGTTCGACACGCTCCACTACGCCTTGTCCCCAGGCCGGGAGACCTTGGCCATACTCGCCAACAACTCCCAGCTTCGCAGGGCCCACGATGCCGTCCTCACCCTCACGCGACACTGTCCCCTGGGAGGCAGCGTGCTGGGCAGCCTGCGCACGGCCCAGGAGCACCAGGAGCTGCCCCCTGACCTCGATCTGCAGCAGGTAGATGGACCAGGGAGGAGGGAAGACAGGAGGAGTTCAGGGAAAGAGGGGGAAGAGGATGGAGGCAATGGGAGAGAGGAAGATGGGGCCAGTGACGAGAGAACTACTAGCAGCTCCAGCTCTTCTTGAGTTTCCTGGGTACTGCAGAGGCCCCATCTTGCTTGGGGCACCTTAGTGTAGTGGGATTGCCTCCAGAGAGCAGGCAATGAGACCTCTCAAGCCCAGCTCCAAGGAGTAAACTCTAATGAACTCTAAACTGCAACATTTTTTGCAGTCTGCCTCCAAGTAAACCCATCCCCAGCACCACAATATAGTCTATAATAAACAGCTGGTGTTCTCAAGAGAGCAGCAAAGAGGGAGGATGCTGATCCAACCTTTGTGCCCAGTTCAGAGGTATTTCCTCTGGGGCCTCATCGGGTGGTCTTAACTTTTTGAGGGCCTGACATCTTGCAAGAAGCAGAAAAGTCTCTAGGTGGAGCCGGGGGCTCCCCTAGTCAGATCCATAGTTTATTCCCAACATCCAGCTAATGTCCAGGATTCCTTGAGTCCCTAGAATCCCAGTTCAGACCATCTAGTTCCACCTCAGTCATGAAAGGAGAGCTAGAAATCACTATGATAGAAAGGAATTTAGATGTTAATGGGCAGTAAGTTAACCACCACAAAGACCCAACTCAAGGACTACATGAGAGAAGGCTGTGGGTCAAGGGGGTTGAAAGATTCCCCACCAATGCCCCTAGTGTCCCCCAAGAGGATCTGGAGTAGCCATGGAGAGAGAGGATGCAAATAATCAATAAGAAGAGAATAAGAGTTAGGATCAATGGTTAGATGGGATGAAGGCAGGGGCAGTCAATGGAGAAAGAGGCAGGAGAGAGTAGAGAGGAAAGCTCTCGGTTCTCAGTAAGCAGCGCAGCCTTCCAGCCAGCTGCCCAGACGAGACCCTGGGCAGTCACCTGATTCCTCTGACTCTTTCCCTCCACATCCGACAATAAGCCCTGTCACTTTGCCTCCTAAAGGTCATCTGAATCCATTCACTTTCTCCATTCTTACTGTCACTGCCCTGGTTCAGGCTATAGCACCTCTGGCCCCAATCCAAAACATAGTCTCTCCAATGTCTCTGCTGCAACTCTCACCTGCCCCAGGTCTTTCTCCACCCAACAAGCAGATCAAGCTTCAGAGATCTGACAAATCTGACCATGGCATGCCCCTGTTCAGAGCCTCCCCGAGGCTTTTGTTGTCCTGGAGAGCTGCAGGGCTCTCTGCATGGTTTACCAGGCCTCATGTCTTCCTCTCTCTTTCTTCTTCCATGATCTTCAGCCAGACTAAGCTACTTTGGGTTCCCTAAATGTGTCCTTCTCTTTTGCCTCGGAGTGGCTGGGGGTACTCTCTGTCCTGCCCCTCTCCTCTCCTGGAGGGATGGTCACTTCTTCCAGACGCCTCCCCCTCCCCAGCCTGGGGTGGGGACCCTCGTTTCTGTCTCCACAGCTCCCTCACTTTCCCCCACCCTCACTCATTGCACTGTCTTAACATCCCTGTCCATCTCCCCAAAAAGTTTCCTCAAGACAGGAACTGTCTTGTACATTGATGTATCTCTAGTGCTTTACATAGTGCCTGGCACTATGAGAAATGGGAGCTGGGAATAATAGGGCAGCCCAGTGAGATCAGGTAGTAACCCTGGGGAAAGAAGAAGGAAAAGAGAAAATAGAAGCCAAGCAAAAGATGGGAAAGAAGGCTTTTAGGGGAATGGTGGGTGGTAAGATTAAAACATATGCAGGGAAACCAATAGGAAGAGGTAAAGAGGAGCGATAGGTGATGGAGAATTACAGTCAATGGAAGGTGAGAGAAGAGCCCGAGTCCTGAAAAGAGGGACAGTCAGCGGGAGAAGGGGTGAGAAAGCTGATGGGGAGAGAGGAAGAGAGAGCCATGGGGAAGGGTTGTGGGGAGCCACTATCTAGGAGGTGGGGGAGTTGGTACCTGCTGGGTTTGAGCGACCCAGTGAAAGAACAGGTGTGGCCAGTGAGTGCCCGTCTGTTTACGGGCTGTGGCCCTGAGCCCTGCGTCCCTGCTGTCGTCCTCCAGGTCTCCCCGCTCTTTGGCACCATCTACGACGCAGTCTTCTTGTTGGCGGGGGGCGTGGCGGGAGCCCGGGCAGCCGCGGGTGGTGGCTGGGTGTCCGGAGCAGCGGTGGCCAGCCACGTCCGGGACACCAAGGTCCCTGGCTTCTGCGGAGCTCTGGGAGGAACCGAGGAACCCTCGTTTGTGCTGCTGGACACTGACGAGGCGGGGGACCGACTGTTCACCACACACATGCTGGACCCCGCCTGGGGCTCCCTCCGCTCCGCTGGGATCCCGGTGCACTTCCCTCGCGGGGGCTCTGGGCCTGGGCCCGACCCCTCATGCTGGTTTGATCCAGATGTCATCTGCAATGGAGGTGAGGGCAGCACCCCAGCCCCACTGGGACAGTCACCATGGATGTATAAAGACAGTGAATGCCCTTCCTGTACTTCTCTGAGGCCCCTCCAGCCCCTCCACCAACCCCTGGCCTGTGCAGGACCCCTCTCTTGCCAAGCCCCAAACCCCCCTTGAAAACTTTAAAGCATTTCCAGACTCTCCTCTTCAAGGAATCTGTGACCTTCTCCTAACTCCCGTTGGGGCTCCTATCACCCGTTCTTGGGGCCTCCAGGATTTGGCGTGACTATGGCTCACTAGAGAGGGGGCCTCCCTTGGCCACGGTCCTGAACGTCCTTCCTCTTACTGTCCCTTCAGGAGTGGAGCCAGGCGTCATCTTTCTTGGCTTCCTCCTGGTGGTCGGGATGGGGCTGACTGGGGCCTTCCTGGCCCATTACATAAGGTGAGTAGAGGAGCAAGGTAAGTAGGGGTGATCCTGGTTCTCCATTTGCCAGAAATGAAATTGTGCAGCAAACACAGCAGGCTGGGTCCACTCAAGAGTAGAAGAGGGGAGAATTGTGGGGGGGGACAGGGAAGGACCCTGGTGGGCTGGCAGAGTCTCAGGGGATGTCTGATTTGGGAATGGCTGCCCCCCAGGACCCCTCCCCTCAGCTAACATTATCCCTCCACCCCTTCCCCCACTGTCCTCTTCTCATACACCTTGGTCCCCTTTGTGGAGATGACTTCCTTTCCCCACCAGGCACCGCCTACTTCACATCCAAATGGTCTCTGGCCCCAACAAGATCATCCTGACATTGAACGACATCACCTTCCTCTACCCACATGGGGGCAGCTCTCGAAAGGTGGGGAAGCAAGGAGCCAGGAGACAGTTGTCTTCTCACTGTGTATTTGGTCCCTTCCCTGGGCCACCCTTCACCCTAGCCCCTGACTTGGGAGACCTGGTTTCTGCCTCAGCTCTGTCCCAAGTCTGGGCTCTGGGGATAAGCCCCCTCATCTGTGCAATGAGCCCCTGAATGGGTGATTTTCCAACAAGAAAATTAATATGTTTGTTTCATAAACTGTAAAGTGTTGTACTCTTGGGGAGTAATGTCATTGTCACCTTCCCAAATTGAGATTTCTTCCCTTCCCTTTTCATTTCTAAAGTTCAACCTGACCTCAACCTAGGACTCTGACCCCAGAGTGTATTCTGACCCCTTACATTGATCTTTACCCTCCAGGTGGTCCAGGGGAGTCGATCGAGTCTTGCTGCCCGCAGTGTGTCAGACATTCGTAGCGTCCCCAGCCAGTCCCAGGAAAGATCCAACATTGGCCTCTATGAGGTGAGCCTGACCCCCAGCCAGGCCGAGCTCTACTCCAGAAGGGACAGTGGGGGAGGGATGCTCAGACCCCGGGCATAGGGGAGGCACACTCTCTAGGGAGGCATGCAGTTATATCAAATCCTGCAGGCTCCAGGAAAAGGGGGTGGGAGTCCAAATGGGATCTAGGAAAAGGTATTGGATTCCTCAAATGGAGTCATCTGGGAGTCCTCCATGCCCCAGGATTTTCCCTCAGCTGTTTTCTAGGTGAGGGCTCCTTGAGGGCCAATCACAGTGGCCCAGAGGCTGGAGGGCTGAGCTACGGGGGAGCATGCTGGGCTACCGAGGCCATCTCCTGCCCCTCATCTGGGAGTCCTCCATGCCCCAGGATTTTCCCTCAGCTGTTTTCTAGGTGAGGGCTCCTCGAGGGCCAATCACAGTGGCCCAGAGGCTGGAGGGCTGAGCTACGGGGGAGCATGCTGGGCTACCGAGGCCATCTCCTGCCCCGCTGGGAGCCCCTGGCCCTGCCCTCTCAGCATTTCCACCCAATTTAAATCAGAACAGCAAGCTCAAGAACAGCAAGCCCTAGAGGAGAAAAAAGAAAGTCACAAAGGGGCACTAGGACATGAACTATGGGGCCAGCAAATTGGAATGTGGTGGGATGGATGGGAGACTTTGAGAACAGATTCAGAGAGAGCCGAGAGAGAGCTCAGCTAATCCTGAGGAGTGCGGAAATTTAGAGCCCCTGAGCTTCAGGTCATGGAGTGAATGCAGAAGCTCCTCCTATGTCACCTAGAGACCATCACGACTGTTTCTCAGAGGGAGCACTACTATCATTTTGGACAGGTTCGTCATTGTGTGGGACTACCCTGTGCCTTGAAGAATGTTTGGTGTCTCTTGACTCTGGCCCTGTCACTAAATGCAGCCCCCAGTTTTTGTGACAATAAAAATGTCATCACCGTTGTTTCCAATACTCCCTACGGGTAGTAGCAACCCCCCACAATTCCCTTCTCATCTAAATCACTTATTAATGGGCCACTACATAATTTGCAAGTTCCAAGGCAAAATGAAGGGCCTCTTCTTCATTCAAGATGACAGCAACAGATCACTGAACCAAGCTCGAGTCCTTCTGAGCATAGGGTCCTGAACGACCACAAGGTCCTGCCATCAGCTGAGGACAATGAGGCCCAGAGCCTGGAGGAGAGCTGCCTATACGTCACAGTTAGTTTACAATAAAGCCTAGTCTACCCTGACTCCTGACTCCCAGCACAGTGCTCTCTCATGGCAAAGATAGTGATGAGGTTGTGATGTCAATGATATTCATGGTTGTAACAATTCACTTAATAAGACTGCTGGTGGGTGCATCTGGGGTGGTGAGGACAGCCATACAGGCCTTCTGCATCTCTCTCACCCAGTAGACTGTGAAGAGGATGGGCAGAGATCAGATCCCTTGTTCTGATGCTCTTGTCGCATGAAGATGTGTTCTGCGACAGTGGGCCAATAGAAGTGTGGAAGTTCTAGAGCTCCTTGCATCATGGGGTTCTAAGAAACTTAGTTCCCTGACTCCATCCTCTCTGCTGCAGGGAGACAGAGTTTGGCTGAAGAAATTTCCAGGGGATCAGCACATAGCCATCCGCCCCGCAACCAAGACGGCCTTCTCCAAGGTGAGAGTTGGGCCCTTGATGGGTATGGGGTGGCCATCAGTTCCTCCCTTCTTGCCTTCTCTGTCAGCTGGGTACAGAGGTAGGTGTCAGTTAAGTGTCCCCTCCACTTTAGAGCAGGTTTTCCATGATTCTCTCTTCTCATGAGCACTAGTTCTTTCTTTTGGTGTTCTTTTTTTTTTTTTGCAAGTGGTTAGTATGGGCATCCGAACCCTTGGCCTTGGCATTATAAGACCTGCTCTAACCAACTGAACTTTGATATTCCTATCCCAGTTTGTAATTGTATGTTCACCTGTGTGCTTGCCTTTTTCTTATCTGCCTCCCTCACTGGACTGTAAGCTGAGCGAGGGCTTTTCCATGCCCCTCCATTGTATGCCCAGCACCCAGAACAGTGTCTGAATCATTAGAGACCCAGTGAATGTTTGTTGAGTGAATAATAGAAAATAAAAACTGAGTTTCCAGTTCTGTCAGGCACTGATGCAGAATGGCCCTAGCTGTATGATGGATCCTGAATAAAGTGGAAAGGTGGCAAGGAGACTACACTGGCTTGTTCTGATCCTTCGAACCTTAATGTCCTCCTTTCCCCCAACACCTGGCAGCCTTGGCCTGGCCTTCCTCCCTGATGCCTCCACAAGAGCTCTTGGTCACAGCTGCAGAATGACTCAAGTGGAATAACTGTATGGGTCAATGGGCTAAATCACCACTTAACACCAAGCTTTTAAAATGAAAAGAAGCCCCTTACTGGGCATGTAAACCAAAGAAAAGCTAGAAGGGGCATGAGTCAGCCAGACCACTAGCCCCATTTCTCCAGCATGCCTGTCCTGTGGAGTGGGTGTGGCCTTATTGATGGCTCTTCTGGGACCATGGCTTGACTGCTCAGTCCCATCTTCTGTAACTTGTGAAGGGTGGGAAGTCGCAGACATGTCTGACACAATGACGTAACCCCACTCAAAGCAGCCCCAGGCCAGGTCGCGGACACAAGCCACTTCTGGTGTCTTTTGAAAGCAGCACAGCTTCTCCCTGGTCCTCGCTGCAAAGGCTGTTACATCAGAAGGAGAGGGTGATGGTGCCAGGAGCTTCTCCTTCATGAGGTGTTTTCCCTTAAGACCTCAGCAGTTCAAGGTTTTCTGGTTAATAAATAAGAACGTGCCTGGGTCTTGATCACCTATGCAAAGTTGTCTTTTCATTCATAACTTTAAGCTAAACCATATCCAATATCTGAACAGTGGCCTTTGACTATATTGTTTTTTCCAAACAGACGTATCTGTAGAAGAAAGCCCCCCTACATGCCCTATAGACCATTTCATTCACCATTATTATCCCACCTGGAGTTTGGATATTCAAACACAGACCTTGAATAACAGCCCCCGCCGTTATCCCCAGGGCAGAAAATTCCTGTCCACTTTCCCTCTCTCAGCTCCGGGAGCTCCGGCACGAGAACGTGGTCCTTTACCTGGGGCTCTTCCTGGCTGGTGGAGCCGACGGCCCCGAGGCCCCCGGGGAGCAAATCCTGGCGGTGGTCTCAGAGCACTGTGCGCGGGGCTCCCTCTACGACCTCCTCGCCCAGAGAGACATAAAGCTGGACTGGATGTTCAAGTCCTCGCTCCTGCTGGACCTCATCAAGGTGTGTGTGGGGAGGGGTGTCCTGGGGGCAGGGAGGTCGGGGCAGGGGAACCGCGCGGGCTGAGGCTGCCTCTTACCCCACCCCTTCCAAGGGAATGAGGTATCTGCACCATCGAGGCGTGGCTCACGGGCGGCTTAAGTCACGGAACTGCGTGGTGGACGGGAGGTTCGTACTCAAGGTCACCGACCACGGCCACGGGCGACTGCTGGAAGCGCAGAGAGTGTTACCAGAACCTCCCAACGCGGAGGGTAGGAGTCCCCGGCTGTCTTCCGCGCACACGAGCACCCCCCGGGATCCCCAGTATCTCAAGGGCCCCATCTACCCTCGCACTCGCTCCATCCCATATCCATTGGACGCGACTCCTGCTACGGGAAAGGTCTCGTGACCGTGGATAGATACGCAGAGGGGGCTCTGTGACTGGGGAGGCGGGGGCTTGCAGGGGGGCGGGACCTGTATCTGAGCTCCTGCAGCTGGCGCGGGGTCTGCCCTAAGTGGGGCTCTGCCTAAGGGCGGGGCTTGTGCCAAGAGGCGGGGTCTTCCCTGGGCACCGCCTTGTCTAAAGGGCGGGTCCTATTCGCGAGGGCCGGGCTTTCTCTGAGATGGCTTTGGGTTTCAGGTGGTCTCTCCTAGGGATAGCTGCAGGGCTGCAGGGCCAGACCCGGGCTGCAGGGCCAGACTTAGGCTGCGGGGTTGTTGCGTGGCTGGGTGCGAGCCTGGGCTTTCTGGTGAAGGTGGGGGTCTGTGCCCAGCGCCCCCGCGGCCCTCCGAGTGTCCACGCCCCCTTCTTCATCCCCAGACCAGCTATGGACAGCCCCGGAGCTGCTTCGGGACCCGGCTCTGGAGCGCCGGGGAACGCTGGCCGGCGACGTCTTCAGCCTGGGCATCATCATGCAGGAGGTCGTGTGCCGCAGCGCCCCCTACGCCATGCTGGAGCTACCTGCGGAGGGTGAGGCCAGGAAGGCACCCTGCTGTTGGGACAGAGCCAGGCCATACCCAGCTCCGCTCTTTTCTCTAAAGCAAAGCCCAGTGACGAGACAATTATGTGGGGGCTCCCTTAAAGCTAGGCTCTGAAGGGGGGAGGGTTCTTCAGGGCCCAGACATGTACAGCTTCTTCTGTCTTGACCCTGGACCCAACCTGCTCCCCCAACCAACAGCGCAGTCTCCTCTCTGGTTCTCAGGGGTCCCAGGGTGGCAGCAGGGGGAGGGTGGGGAGGTCGGGCGGTAAGAGGGCAGTCCTATCTGGTTCAAATCCGCATCACTTACCATCTATAGGACTCTGAGCAAGCTGCTTGATCACCTAACCCTCTAGTTTCCTTGCCTATGTCACTTCTTACTGATCCCGACTATTCAGGGCCCTCTTGTTACTCCTAGCAATCCCCTTCCACACCACACTTCCCTATGCACTGAAGCTCTGATTTAAAGGACTCTCTGCCAGACGCCCCCCCCTCCCCATCTTAGGCTTCAACAATCAGGCCACAGTAAGGGGTGGCTTCTGTTCTGGGGCACCCACCCTCACGGTCCCCTGATGCTTTCAGAAGTGGTGCAGAGGGTGCAAAGCCCCCCTCCGCTGTGTCGGCCCTTGGTGTCCATGGACCAGGCACCCATAGAGTGCATCCAGCTGATGAAACAGTGCTGGGCGGAGCAGCCAGACCTTCGGCCCTCCATGGACTGCACCTTCAACCTGGTCAGGGGCTGGGATTGGGCAAGGGTTGGGATGGCCACTGGGATCACAGATTCTTGTCAGCAACCTGGGAAAGCCGCAGGCAGGCAGGACTCCTGACCTTCCAGGCTACCTCCTTAAAGGGTAGTCTGAGTACTGGGGGTTTGGTAGGACAGAGTTAGGATGGGAGTGAGGTAGAACAGGGGCTTTGGAGGCCTTTGAGTGGGAGATGGAGTCCTCGGTGGGAGAAATATTTAGTTCAATTTAAATAATATTGATTGAGAACCAAGTATGTGCTTGGCCTACTATGGACAGAAAGACCTTGGCCTGGGGATCCAAAGGCTGGGCTGGCTCCAGTGCCCTGTCAATTACTAGCTGAGAACAGCTGACCTCTGGGAACCCTCCTTTCCCATGTGCCTCCTAGTAATATCTGAAAACGCAGTGCCCAGGGATACTTGATGAGTAGAAGATGAATTACGGTGGTGCGGGGGAGAGGGTTAGGAATATGCAGCCCCATGAGAGGGCTCATGAGAGGGGCATGGCAGCCCAGGTCTTCAGCTGTCTACCAGCTTCCTCCTCCTACTAGTTCAAGAGCATCAATAAGGGCCGGAAGACAAACATCATTGACTCAATGCTGCGGATGCTGGAGCAGTACTCCAGTAACCTGGAGGACCTGATCCGGGAGCGCACAGAGGAACTGGAGCTGGAAAAGCAGAAGACAGACCGGCTTCTCACACAGATGCTGCCTCCGTGGGTGCCAATGGAGAGCAGGGTGGGGGAGGGCATCTGGAGCCCAGGCCGACTGGGGTGGCCTCCAGGTGATCTCACTGTCTTCCATCCTTAGGTCTGTGGCTGAGGCCCTGAAGATGGGGACACCCGTGGAGCCTGAGTACTTTGAAGAGGTGACGCTGTACTTCAGTGACATCGTGGGTTTCACCACCATCTCAGCCATGAGTGAGCCCATTGAGGTGGTGGACCTGCTCAATGACCTCTACACACTCTTTGATGCCATCATCGGTTCCCACGATGTCTACAAGGTGGGGTGTGAGAGGACAAGCCCTCCTGACGTTTGATTCAGCTCCACTAGCCTCCAGCCCAGTCTTTTCTGCTCAGCATTCAGCCTCCTGCTCCAAACCACCAGCCCAATCCTCTTTCCCAGCCCTTCTGTCCCTTATCTCTTCCTCCAGTCCCCAGCTCAGTCCCTAACTCGCAGGCTGGCTCCCCAGAATGTCTTCACTAACCCCAGTTTTGGCCTCCTGACAAGGGACAATCGCTCTGTGTGTTAAGGGGAGAGGTGCTCAGTACAGAATTCACATAACTCCTTTGCCCAGGTGGAGACAATTGGGGACGCCTATATGGTGGCCTCTGGGCTGCCCCAGCGGAACGGACAGAGACATGCGGCAGAGATCTCGAACATGTCGCTGGACATCCTCAGTGCCGTGGGCAGTTTCCGCATGCGCCATATGCCCGAAGTGCCCGTGCGCATCCGCATCGGCCTGCACTCGGGTAACTCCCCAGCCCTCCAGGGCTGCAGCCCATCTCCCTTTTTAGGCAGGGCTCCAGATTTCCTATGTAGGAGGCAAACTCGTGGAGTGGGTGGGAGGGTGGGGGTTTGCACGGAGAGGATACACTTGAGAGTGTTTATTTGAGGAGCTGGTGGAGATTATGGGGTGCTAAGATCCCCCAAGACCCCAGGTGCCGCCCAGCCTCAGGGCACAGCCAGCTTCATCCCAGGCCCCGCCCGCCCGCCGACCCGCGCATC